TGGCATGATAGCCAGTTAAAATGCAGTGTGCAGTGTCAGCACAGCAGTGTAAGGTGAACTAATAACCATAACACTATGACCGGGAGAGTGGCATGTCTTGGTTGAGGAGTCGAATCACCTGGGGATAGAAACTCCTCCTGAGTCTCTCCGTCTGGCCATAATGACGCGGAACCTTCTGCCTGAATGCAGGAGTTTGAACAGTCTGTTATTGGGGTGAGACAAGTCCTTAATAATCCCAGCTGCCCTGGTCTTACATCTCCTGATGTAAATGTCCTGCATGGAGGGGAGAGCTAACCTGCAGCAGCGTTCGGCTGCCCGGATCACTCTCTGGAGGGCTTTCCGGTCCTGCACACAGCTGTTCCCAAACCAGGGTGAGATGTTCTGTGTGAGGACGCTCTCAGCATTGCCCGAGTAGAAAGCCTTAAGGACAGCAGGGGAAACCCCAAACTTCCTCAAATGGTACAGGCGCTGCTTCACCCTTTTTGTCAGAGCACAGATATGCTCAGTCTATGTCAGGTCCTCCAAGATGTGGATGCCCAGGTATTTAAAACTGCTCACCCTCTCCACTGGAGCTCCATTGATGGTGAGGGGTCTGTGGTCATGTTGTCTCCTTCTGAAGGCCACCACCAGCTCCTTAGTCTTGTTGACGTTCAGGTGCAGGCAGTTTTCCTGACACTATAGTGCCAGGTTCTCCACTTCGTCTGTGTAGACCGACTCATCATTGTTGGTGATGAGGCCCAGCAAACTTAACGATGGTGTTGGAGTCATGCGTGGCCACACAGTCAGAAGTGTTCTTGTGTCTGCTTGTTAATTCAGTGTTCTTTGTGTGTCTGCTTGTTAATTCAGTGTTCTTTGTGTGTCTGCTTGTTAATTCAGTGTTCTTTGTGTGCCTGCTTGTTAATTCAGTGTTCTTTGTGTGTGGTACAGAAAAACAAAAAAAACTCAAGTCTTTTTCTAAGCAGCACAGAAGTCCCAGTTCTCGATTTAGTTTTTAGACAGATCTTAAATCCCGATATTTGCACCGCTAGTCAGTAACCATTTATGGCTCACATATGAGAAACAGACTCTAGTCATCTCAGCCCGTATGACTCATTTGCACACATGGGGGAAACATGATGGGTTTAACTATGATACCTAAAGTCTGTGATTCATTCCTAGTGTGACTCATCATGTCATTCATCCACTTTTTTTTCTTCCTCAGGTCTAAAAACGCTGGTCTCTTACTCGTCTCTGTATTATCTACATACCTGTAACCCTGCCATCGTAGGAGGCAACGCTTTTGCTGTGGGAGCAACACTGATAAATAGTGAATCTGCAGAAGGTACAGTTATCTCTGTAACCTACTGAGCACTTCTGGCTCTCCTATGATGCTGATGTCACCTCATGTACTTTGACAACAAAAAGATTTTGCCTGTATTATAGCTTATCTTATCTTTCAAATAACATCATCCAGCCCGTTGTGTTTTATCCTTTCCGATGGACACATTGATTCTCGGATGTTGACCTGTTTTTCCTGGTTTCGAGTTGTGCTGTTCTCCAGATGGCCTCCTACTCATTTTTATGTGGGTGGAATGGCCTCTTCCAATAACAAAGCTGACTAAAAACGTTGGAAAACTCCGTCCCCTGACCCTTTCTGTCTCCCCATAGGTCAGCTTCCAGCATTTTCTGTGTTTTACTGTTGCTTCAAGGTCTGATTAATGGTTTTCCTCTATGCTTACTCAGATAGGCCTTGCAGCAATCATGTGCTTTGTACGTGTTTTGATTTCTTCATTGCCTTCATTAGTCAGTACCTTCCATGATCATCAATAGTTTGGGTGCAAAGTAATGATGTTGTTCTTTGAGATTCCTTTTGAGACTAAAAAGAAAACCAAATAACTGTTTCTCTTGTTACTTGTTTCTTGTTATTTAAGTACATGACTCTGAACTACAGTTCTCCCTGTAGACTCCCACACCCTATAATGACTGTGCTGTTTTAATCTTCTCAGTCATCTCAAGTGTTCACTTCAGATCCATTTGTCTTTATTTTTATATAGCTGCCTACCCAAGACAGTTGTGCGGAACTATTCATAGACTTAACAAAGAGTAAATGGAAAAGTAGTAATGGTCAGTTGTTACAGCCGTTAATGTCATACATTAAGGGAAAGCTGATGACGAAGGAGAGAACGCTAAAGCTACAATGATAGTTGTAGAATGGAAGACCTCTGGGGATCCTTACTATCTGGCCTCCCAACCTCACAGGGCACATTATCCTTATCTAACTCCGAAGTGTGTGCAAGTGTTGCTAGAACAAAGGGTCTGAATAAGAATCGGTCATCTGCTCTGCTCTGCGTAAGGCAGGCATCAATGGCTGGCAGATCAGCAAGTCAACCTGTGGTGTATATCAGCGGTGTAATTGAGGGAGGTGTAAAGTATGACAAGGAGGAGCAGATTAGTACTGATACTGAGGATGTATATGCAGCCAAGTAAAAGACACTAAACTGAGAGCAAGTTATATCATGAACTAAAACCAGCTACCTGAACAATAAAAACAATATTAAATCGATGTTTTTTACTGCAAAAGTCTCCTCCTGAACTACGTTTGATAGCCAGCATATGTAATATACCATTAGAAATATAAACTTCTGCAGAGTGTTTATACTGTGTTAAAAAGCCCCAAGATACTTTATGGTTATTTTATGTTGTGTATGGTTATATTTTGTGTTGTGGCAAAGAAATTTATAACAGTAAAACAAGGTGTCATTTTTGTTTCTTTTACTTCAGATAAGTTTTGTTTTGCTTTATTTAGAACATAAAATAATTCAAAAGCAAATAATGACACATTTCTTAAATTATCCAGACTGTATTTTGTAGTCAAAAAAATCTACAGATCTGACTTCTGCCCAAAGTAAATTCAGCCCCATGGTTCTGTATAAACACTCTGTGTAGTCTGCCCCCGCCTCCATCCCTGAAGGGGCACCCAAGGAGAGTGCCTTCAGTCACTGGTCCTATCATGCCAAAGACTAAGTGGGCTGCCCACTTTCGACCAGAGCTCCTGTTAGGTGAGTCCAGCGATGGGCTTAACTCCTGTCCAGGACTGTGTCCAACCGAGAATGTGTCAGATTCTCCATGTACCCCCTAATTTACATCTTAGACTAACCCTAACCCATCTTACAACTGCTTATCATAATCAGGGTCATGAGGGGCCTGGAGTCTACTCCATGCATTTACATTTTTTTATTTAACAGATGCTTTTTATCCAAAGTGACTTACAATAGAGAGAGGCAGTTCAGCTAGTTCCTATAGTGACGGGTTAAGGGCCTTGCTCAAGGGATTCCAGGTTAAATTGTTGCTCTGGCCACGAGATTCCAGGCAGCATAGGGTGGCAGTATATCGTAGTGTGCATAGATAAACGAAGCGCTGATTATCCATCAGTCTTAGAAATGCACAGCATATCAATGAACGTATCAGTACAGGCCGATGTTCATTAAAAGTCAAGATATCGGCATCGGTCCAAGGTGTCAGTCCTGGCTGATGCTGGCAGCCGATATTTAAGCTTTAGCAATATTCAAAGTTAGCAGCACCAGAGCTAAAGATATGATTACTAAAATAATGACGATGATTGCAACCGGTTATTGGTCTCAGCCAAAACTTCCACATTGGTGCACTACTAATCAGTCTTCGAACAGCTTATTTAATAAGTGGTCCCAGCGAGCATGAAGCCTAACCCAGAGCACAGAGGATGCCATCCAGGACAGGATACTAGCCCATCTCACACACACACCAATTTTAGCTGCCAGTCTTTTTTACGTTTTTTTAAGTTCTTTACACTGCAGCAAAAACACTAACAGAACATGCGGGGAATATGCAAATTCCACCCCCAAAGCAGGACTCAAAACCCAAACCCTGGGGATACAAGCCAACAATACTGCCCAAAAATGCCACCTGACATTGATTATGGTTCAGTTTTTTCCCATATATGGCCCATTTCAGTGACCTTTCAACATGTGTCTGCATGGCCTGAATAAATACATATAACATTGATGTTGCCTTTTCAACTTCAGGATGAAAAAAAAGCTCAGAGGGTGACCATGATCCATAACGTCTGCAATGCTACTAAAACAATAGTCATACCCAGCACACTCTGTCCCGTTCCGTGTGGGTGCTGTGGTTTCTTGAAAACTTTGCTTTTTTCCCCAGAAAAACAACATCAGCCACATTTATGTCAAGGAGCTTCAAGCTGAAGGGTAGATGCCACAAGGCGTGTATTTTTGTTAATGAAAACTGCTCTGTGTACGTTAGCGAAAAATAATGAAAGAGAAGAAGCAAACCAGTGTTTGTGTCTGTGCCAGATGTGTAATGTATATGTACATCATATATTCAAACACAATTAATCATCTCTAATCAATATAAACAGAGAAGAAGAGTGAAGTAAAGGGGGCTAGAAGAGTGTGTCACACAACATAAATGAGAAACGAGCCGAGACGCTAAGATTCAGCATGGACACCAGGGCAGTGAACAAGGAGATGGCCCTGATCAGCAATGTCCTGGCAGCCTACACCTTTATTGCAGGTATGGACTGGCAGCTCAGCAATCTACCGCAGTATTTCCCAACCCAGTCTTCAGGGACCTCCACACAGTCCACGTCTTTGATCCCTGCCAGACAGTCCACATTTTTGCTCCCACCCAGCCAGGAGGCATGATGTCATCTTTGGGCCCATGAACAAGCACTCCTCAACAGACATATGTTTGAAATTCTAATTCTAAATTGTGCTAGTTGTCTGTCTTGTATGTCACTTTTGGGAAAAAACATCTGCCTAATAAAATAAATGCAAATGTAATATTAATATATTTGTATACTTTTATTGTTCGGGAGGAAGCTACTTAATTTAATATAATTTGATCTCTCAATACCACCACCCTCCACATCTCACCCTAAGTCTCTATTTATTTATCTTTTCACTACCTTGCTAAAATAACATCCCCACCCATTCTTAGGACACAACCATGCAGTAACTGAAGATATGCAAGAGGCATCATTGCAAAATCTTGTTTGTTTCTTTATTTGTTTACTTACTTAAAGCCCCATACATCTGTGTAAATACGTTACACCTCAGGCATAAAATAATAAAACCTGTTTTTGTTCATAGATAAGCATGGTTTCCTGTGCACGTTCGCTATCTACGAGTAGCTACATCCTGCTACAGGTCATCACAGCTGCGGTGTTTTTTCCTCACATCTCCCCCCCGCAGACCACCTGGAGCGTGCGGCCCTCTTCTTCATGTGCGGGGTGTGCCTGGGCCTGTTCTTCACACTCCTCGCTTTGGTGGTGCAAATCTCTTGTCGGAAGGAGTGTCGGACCGGTCCGAAACGTCAGCCCAGGTCACACCCACGGGTTGCCAAAGAGGACAGTGAGGGGAGCAACTCCGACTCGGATTCAGACTCGGCCTCGGACCTGTCAGCGCGGCGCCACCGGCGTTTCGAGCGCACGCTACGCACAAATGTCTTCGTGTCAGCAGAGGAGCTGGAACGCGCGCAGCGGCTGGAGGAGAGGGAGCGCATCATCCGCGAGATCTGGATGAACGGGCAGCCTGACGTCCCCGGCACGCTCGGCATCAGCCACTACTACTGAGTCTTGGAAGACATCTTGAAAGACTCCTCTGTTCGGTGCCTTTTGAGGGAGCCACCCCGTTTTGCCATTAACAGCGTGAGCTGCAGTGTGTTCCTTAAGGTCGGGAGTCTGCACATGTATTGCAGAATAATTTATAGAGAACCTCTCGACCTTTAACAGACCTCTAAAGATGCAGAAAACTTAAGCAACTCTGCGGTGGCAAGTGACTGTATTCTGCGTAGGGACGCAGAGCCGTTTGCTGACTATGATGTTAGATAAGATGGGACTGAATGTGCCTCTCTGAATGCGAATGAACTTCCCTTGAGGTATATTGATTCAGAAATGAGAGATTTAAAACTCTGGACGCAAATAAGGCTCCTGTACACAGGCCTCTGTGATAGGCATCTGTGTACGAATAACCTTTGAAAGAAAAACGCTACGTGCGAATCAGACTATGAACCAAAAACATTTTCATCTCAGCCTTCTTGAAATCTATATTAATATTTAATTTTGTTATATAATGCTTTTTTTTAGAACTGCAATGTTTTGTCTGGCATCTCAGGGATAACATCCTAGTATTTTCAGTCATTTGGTTTTTTTTCTTTTTGAGAAAGCATTTAGGGAATTTAAAAAAAAAAAAAAAAAAAAGGTGTGCCTTATCTGTCAAACAAGGTAGAATACAGAGGACATAGAAAATGCATCCAAATATTGATATTACAATAATGTGAAGATGTCAAGTATCAACCCAAAATAAAATATAAAATATTCCATACATTTCCCCTGGAACTTCCCATACTCAGTGGTTTTGTGAAGATGTGAAAAGAAAATGAAAGACAAGCAAATATTGACATTTTAGGGAAGGTTCTATAAAATAGCCAATCAGAAGATGGTACATGTGGCTTGGAAAGTGGTGAGAAAAATATCCCCTAAAAAGATGTAACAGCTGACACAGAGATTCTGATAATGTTGTGCTGGGTATTGATGGATCTGATTATAACCTGAGGTTTATTTTGTAATTTGGGGACTTACCAGTAACTCATATTCCTGATTTAGGGTACAGTTCATCACGCTTGCTTGTTTTAGGTCTGTCATATAATGCAGTGAACTCAAATGCATTTCATGTTAAGGGTTAAGTGGAAAAATATTTAAGATTTCAAATAAACCAATTTTACTACCCCTGATTTTTAAATCCCCACAGTAAGATGTCACAAGTTTCCATGGTCCCTAGTTTACCATAGAAATTTTACACTATGCTTCCCATTTTTTTTCAGAAAACTTTTGTTCCAGAAAAGGACCCAAAATTCAGTCACAAATATGACAAAAGCTGGTAGCGGATCAAATACATACACATAAGCCTAAAATAAAGTACTTTGTCTATTTAATGGTAACTTAATTTATCCATGCAATATATGTATTTAGCAGTACACAATTATACCACTAATGTCTTTTATCTAACGCAGTGGCATTTAATGGCAAATGTGAGTTCACCAGCACATTTAAGATGTAACCATAAAGGCAACAAATGAACTAACAAGTTCATCCAAGCGACTGTGACGCTAGAGACCAGGGTACAGCGCTCTACCGCCTAAAAAATGAATTTGTATCGCCATCTGCTGGTGAGATTCGGTTAAAATTAACAGCGGGAATGCAAACCACGGAGAACGGCGGTTATATGTGAAGTTCTAGCTGAAAAGCTATAAGATAAGAACACTGCCTGCTGAGCCGCGGTGTAGCCTTGTGTTACGTCACTAATTGATAAAATAATAATCATTTGTTCACATCGTAACTTTTAAAGCATTTCTCCTCAGGGCCGAACGAAGCCAAATGGCGCCCTAGGCAAGCTTCGCCGCTGTCGCCCTCCGGGTAAATTTCACCGTCGAATTTAACTTTGTTGGCCGTTTTTTAAGTCCTAGAAGATGACACCCTATGCCAGCGCATATGGATTGCCTGCCATTATCCCCACCATTTCCCCACTCCTTGCTTTGTGTGGCAGTTACAATCAGCAGAAAGCGACTCTGGAAGATAGATGACAGAGAGACAGACAGACACACCACTGAATCAGTCAGGGTCACATTCATCTGGCAAATGAATAATAATGCGCAAAGCCGATATGGTTTACTGTCTCTCAGGATTGACCAAAAACCATGCCTGTATACTCTGTAAATTGAATCACAAACTCGGGCACTCGAACTTACGTATACCAGGTCGGCCTACATCTGTTTTTGTACACGTTTACATAATTTTCAGTGAAAGAATGATGCAATGACAATACTAAATATAAATGAAATGTACAGACATTTCTAAAAATCAGTGGGAGTGCGCACAATATCTTTCCATCATCGTGCCAATACCGTGTTTACAGTGACACCGTCTACATTCAAAATATTCTTGAATTTCTATGTGCACATATGAAGAACAGATTTTATATGTGCAATGACTGAAACAGTACGTCCTTAATGTAAATGCAGCATACTGTAGCTGGGTTTTTACAGGGACTTGATGCTCTTGTTCCGGTCCCAAGCATGCCTGCATTGTTTGTACACAGAGTTGTAAAGACAATTTTAGCTCGGTCCGATTGGCTGCGAAAGAGGAGCTTATAGTGAGATATCACCCCTGGCAGCCATCTTTCAATTGTGTTTGCGCCGTAAGGTTTTTTTTTTTAAGTAGTGCTTTTATAGAGAGACACCAGGGGTAAGTTTTGTTGACGGTCGATTTTGCACAAATGCAATATTAGATTGTTGGTACGTATAAAAAAAAAACGTTAAGAAGACTGTGTTAAAATTGTATTTTTTAAAATGTTAAACGCTGAAGTTAGGCAGAAACGTTTATGAGAATTCAAGGGGTTATAATGTGTAACATTTTATAAGAAAGATGCGTGTTTCGTTAAGCTTATTATTGTTTACTTTCTATTCTAATGGTATAAAAAAAACTGCTTGACATGGACACTTCAATTAAACTGGATCATGAGTTGAAACATGCCATTGATCAAAATATAATGTCTGTTATTCATGTTTTCCGTGATGATATTGGGGGGTATTCACCATTTTGTCTTATCACAGCAGCCTATTTTACAAAGCTTTGCCTTGTAGCCGTAAGGAGGTGGTGTATCCCAATTATATGCAGAATTTTACTGCAGTCTTTTTCTTGGACAGTATCTGTTATTGTAAACCAACAGAAAACAACATCATATTTGAGTAATATTTGTTTTTCTTTAAATAAACGTGTGTTTTGTATAGCGTTAAAGCCCATTTAGACTGTTGGCATATATGACATACTGTTTTGGCGGGTGCCTTCGAGGGTACAAGTTAATGAAAGGAAATCTACTTTAATTCCCTATGATTTGCGTTGCGTAGATATTGTAGCCCAGTAGCGTCGGTCGACAAAAACGTAAGTAATCGGCTACAGTCGCTGCAGAAATATTTGACGCATACGGTAGAAATAATTTATTTTCTTTAGTTTTAGTTACTGATAAACACGCGCCGAGTTTCTGTTAATGCAAGTTATACAGAAAATATGTGTTATTTTATTAAGGTGCCATCTCTATTAATAAGAAGAAATGTGCCATTTCTATTAATACGTAGCTCGTTTAACTGCGAAACCAATTGCCCGACTTTTTCGGTGCGTAGACGCCCGGTAGTTGACAATCAGAAAAACGATGTATAACATTAATCAATATATGATTTAATATATCCACTCTGTTTACTGTTCTATATACACAGTAAACCAAAAATATCTGTGACTACAAATACAAAAAACACGACAGAGCTACCATTTCTGCGGATATAACATAAGGGAGTGGAACCATAAACAGAGAAAAATGCCACACTTTTTTTGTTTACTAAGGTTTAGATGCTAACCTTGATTTCTAACAATATTTTCTATGACATAAGGTCTAGCTGGTTTCTGACTGATACCAAATACCTAAAAATGAACAGTTTATTTTGATTGCCATTCTAGGTAAATGATTAGTATACTGTTTGCCTGATAAACATTTTCGAAAACAAATAGATGAAGATTGATTTAAAAATTTTAAACTGACACCAAGAAAATATTTTTCAAAAAAAATTTGTACCGGTAATTTAAGCCTGCATATGCAGAGAATGAAATGGTTAAAATGCAGAAGGTTATGAAATGTTCCTATCACTCTCAGTCCTGGTAAAGTTTCAGAATGTTCAGTCATAAATGAGAATCACCAGGGGCTTGTATCACAAAGCAGGATTTCTTGCTTAGCTGGATAACTTGTCAGATGTAAGGTCCCCCAGTTTAAATGTACTTTATCTTCATTCACTTAAACTTCCGCCCAGACTACCTTAAATCTGACAAGTTGTTCAGATAAGCAGTGGCGTGCACAGACATTTTGGGGGGCAAGTGCTCCAGGGGGAAAAAAGGGCACTTTTTGCATATGTGGAAAACC